GTAAGATGATGATGATGGCTTTCGCTCGACTGTTAGTGTCTGTCCACCGCGAGGTTAGGCGGTGTGGTGTTAGTGGTGGGTCCCTGTCAACCACACAACGGTGTGGTGTTAGTGGTGGGTCCCCGTCTACCACACGACGGTGTGGTGTTAGTGGTGGGTCCCTGTCTACCACACGACGGTGTGGTGTTAGAGGTGGGTCCCTGTCTACCACACGACGGTGTGGTGTTAGTGGTGGGTCCCTGTCTACCACACGACGGTGTGGTGTTAGAGGTGGGTCCCTGTCTACCACACGACGGTGTGGTGTTAGTGGTGGGTCCCTGTCTACCACACGACGGTGTGGTGTTAGAGGTGGGTCCCTGTCTACCACACGACGGTGTGGTGTTAGTGGTGGTTCCCCGTCTACCACACGACGGTGTGGTGTTAGTGGTGGGTCCCTGTCTACCAAACGACGGTGTGGTGTTTGTGGTGGTTCCCTGTCTACCACACGACAGTGTTTTTGCGTCGTCACTATACAATGACGAGTTTTTTCTTATATAATAAAGTAAAACAAGTGTGTTTATGTCGCTAGTGGATACGGTGACAGTCAACAGTTCTTGTGTACCTGCGTGGGTGCCTCTGGGACTTTTTAGCAGAGAGACACAATCGTGACTGGTAGAATTGGCCCATGCAAGGTAGGTATTCGCCACGATGTAAAGATTACTATAAGCAGATAACCCAGTCCACGTGAAAGTGCCGACGTTTTCGGACTGGCCTAAGTCGGTTGATTGATTGATAAAGATTAAGCCACCCAAAAGGTGGCACGGGCATGAATAGCCCGTAAGTGGAGGCCCTTTTGAGCCATTACCAGTATCAAGAGCTGATACTGGAGATCTGTGGAGGTGCGAATGCACCCTGCATGACGGGAGATGTCTCCCTTGTGAATGTGTTAAGATGAAGATGAAGCCACCCAAAAGGTGGCACGGGCATGAATAGCTCGTAAGTGGTGGCCCTTTTGAGCCATCACCAGTATCAATAGATGATACTGGAGATCTGTGGAGGTGCGACTGCACCCAGCGTGACGGGAGATGTCTCCCGGACCAAATGGTGACCAGATGGTGGATAAACACGAGAGAGAGAGAGAAGATTAAGCCACCCAAAAGGTGGCTTGGGCATGAATAGCCCATAAGTGGTGGCCCTTCTGAGCCATTTCCAGTATCAATAGATGATACTGGAGATCTGTGGAGGTGCGACTGCACCCAGCGTGACGGGAGATGTCTCCCGGACCAAATGGTGACCAGATGGTGGACAAACACGAGAGAGAGAGAGAAGATTAAGCCACCCAAAAGGTGGCTTGGGCATGAATAGCCCATAAGTGGTGGCCCTTTTGAGCCATTTCCAGTATCAATAGATGATACTGGAGATCTGTGGAGGTGCGACTGCACCCTGCGTGACGGGAGATGTCTCCCCTTCCAAGTACTATATATAGTCGTAATGGCTTGGTGCTTTTCCCCTGATAATTCCCTTCCCTGTTTTACCTGTCCGTGCGCTCATTAACGGCACCGGAAGTAATCATGTAGACAGGGCGAGGTGGTGATTCGTCGTCTCACATAATAAGGGATCGCAATCTGTATGTCAAAAAAATAAATAAAAGGTTTACAACGCGTAGTACTGTATCATATTGTTATATACCAGAGGGCCACTAATACTAGTGGCCTCGACGAGGACAGGAAGCCGGCGGCGTGTCAAAAGGTCACCCCCCCCTCCTTAAGGTTATGGCTCGTTATGGGTGCCAGAAGGCATGTAACTGGCGCATTGTCAAGCTGCTGGATGAAACTGTTAGTTAAATAAGTTAACTCTTCGCCATCTGCAGTCCGGGCATTTAGGCGGGATGCTCGTTGGACACTTGACCATCTGTCTGGCCGGACACTTGACCACCTGACTTGCTGGACACTTGACCCATCTGACTTGCCGGACACTTGACTGTCCGTTTGGCTGAACCTACTGCTTGGAATGCTGTCCTCCCGGTTGAACTAGCCATTAGTAAATGTCATCGTCCCTGTTCAACCTCTCGCCATCAGCTTAAACAAACAGGCGACATGGGCGACTTGATGCCCGCCGATCAGAGTGTCTTGACGCCGTCTATAGACAGTCAACGAATGCAGTCTGCACACTCTCACGTAACTGACAGCACCGTCACACTGATAGCATCCGGCCAGGGAGATGTTTGCGAGTGTTGTATTTCCACTCTTGAACTGTTGACTGAAGCAGACAGACGTTTGGGCTTGGTGACGGTTGGAGTGTGTTGTTCTTTGCGGACCAGTGACCGTTGAGGACCGTTATAGAGACCGTTACAGAGAAAAGACCGTTGCGGATCAGTAACCGTTGGGGTCCAGTGACCGTTACAGAGAAAAGACCGTTGCGGACCAATGACCGTTGCAGAGAAGCGACCGTTGTGAACAAGTGACCGTTGTAGACAAGATACCGCTGTGGAGAGTCGGCCGCTGTGTGGAGATGGAACTTGTACCAAGGCAAGATTACACCATAATAGGTATTGGCTCGGAGAGGCTTCGATCGAGCGCTGAGCGGCAAGAATTGGCGCCAATATGAAACCAAATGTCTTGTTGTCTGGGGTCAGGGTTGCCTCCTTATCAGTGTGTGTGTGTGTGTGTGTGTTTACCTATATGCGCTTGCGGGACGAGAGGACTATAGCTCTTGGGACCCGCCTCTTCCCCCCAACGTCGTTGAAAGCTGTGGAATGAGTTGGCGGGCTTCAAGTCTCGCGTATTTACATTAAGTTAGTCTTATGGAAAGTCTTGCTTTGTGTTTCTGTTTAATGCAGCTCGTGGATAATGTCTCTTGGTTAGAGACTTGGCGCTAGGACACGCCACACCCATTAAGGGAGTGCCTGGGTGCTAGGACACGCCACACCCATTAAGGGAGTGTCAAGGTACTAAGACACACACGCCACACCCAGCAAGGGGGTGCTAGGACGCACCCATCAAGGGAGTGCCTAGGTGCTAGGACACGCCACACCCATTAAGGGAGTGCCTGGGTGCTAGGACACACACCACACCCAGCAAGGGGGTGCTAGGGTGCTAGGACACACACACACCCAGCAAGGGAGTGCCTGGGTGCTAGGACACACACCACACCCAGCAAGGGGGTGCTAGGGTGCTAGGACACATACACACCCAGCAAGGGAGTGCCTGGGTGCTAGGACACACACCACACCCAGCAAGGGGGTGCTAGGACACACACACACACCCAGCAAGGGGGTGCTAGGACACACACACACACCCAGCAAGGGGGTGCTAGGACACACACCACACCCAGCAAGGGAATGTCAAGGTGCTAGGACACACACACACACCCAGCAAGGGGGTGCTAGGACGCACCCATCAAGGGAGTGCCTGGGTGCTAGGACAAACACACACACCCAGCAAGGGGGTGCTAGGACGCACCCAGCAAGGGGGTGCTAGGACGCACCCATCAAGGGAGTACCTGGGTGCTAGGACACACACCACACCCAGCAAGGGGGTGCTAGGACGCACCCATCAAGGGAGTGCCTGGGTGCTAGGACAAACACACACACCCAGCAAGGGGGTGCTAGGACGCACCCAGCAAGGGGGTGCTAGGACGCACCCATCAAGGGAGTGCCTGGGTGCTAGGACACACACCACACCCAGCAAGGGGGTGCTAGGACGCACCCATCAAGGGAGTGCCTGGGTGCTAGGACAAACACACACACCCAGCAAGGGGGTGCTAGGACGCACCCAGCAAGGGGGTGCTAGGACGCACCCATCAAGGGAGTGCCTGGGTGCTAGGACACACACCACACCCAGCAAGGGGGTGCTAGGACGCACCCATCAAGGGAGTGCCTGGGTGCTAGGACACAGCAGAGCGTGTAGGACAGGCTGTGTGGATACCTAGCTTAACCTGCTGACCTTCAGGTTGCTGCCTGGTTCACCTTCACAGCTCAACACTCCCATCACACACACACGAGCCGAGAGGTATGAGCTACGAGGAAAGACTATGGGAACTAAACCTCTCGACTGGATGACAGAAGAGGTAGGGGGAGAGACATGATCACTACCTATAAAATTCACAGGAGGAATTGACAGTGTAGATAAAGATAAACTGTTTAGCACGGGTGGTACGCAAACAAGGGGGGGACACAGGTGGAACTTTATACCATCCCGTCCACCTAAGGTTCCCAACGTCAAGAAACTGTCGTACTAAAGTGTCCTTACCCTAACCTACCAGAGGACCTACAACAGAAAACGGGACAGTATGTCAATTTCGCGAAACGCTGCTATTTTCTAGTACGACGAATTTTGGCCTTAGAGTATACGTCAAAATGCGACGTTCTCTTAGCAGGACGGGTTGTTGAAACACCGTGAATTAGGGTATATACACTGTAGTATATATGTAGTATATAATAGGGTATATATATATACACGTCTGGGATGCTCCCGGACGCAGGTTCGAATCCTCGTCACGGCCCTTGTGGATTTGTTCATTAGGGTATATATGTCTATGTATCAACTGAAAACTCACACCCCAGAATGTGAGTGTGTGTATATACATCGAAGTGTATTAGATATACCTCTTGGTTTATACATCGTCTTGTGTATAACGCTCCTTCGATGTATAAATGTTGTTAACGGTCGCGTATGTGTGTTCGAGGTGGTCAGGACCCCGGGGCTGAAGACACATGTCCCAGCCACACACACGGGCTGAAGACACATGTCCCAGCCACACACACGGGCTGAAGACACATGTCCCAGCCACACACACGGGCTGAAGACACATGTCCCAGCCACACACACGGGCTGAAGACACATGTCCCAGCCACACACACGGACTGGAGACACATGTCCCAGCCACACACACGGGCTGAAGACACATGTCCCAGCCACACACACGGGCTGAGACGAGGTCTCCAGCTGCCCCGGACCCTTATCACGTCATGACATAACACGAATGATTGATTGATTGGTGAAGATTATGCCACCTAAGAG